CGTTGGGGAGGGACCGCCCTTTGGGAAGGCGTCGCCGAAGTCATCAGGCCACACTCCGTGGGGCCACCCCCTGGGGAGCCGGGCCGACGCGTCACGGCTCAACCAGAAGGGCAACTTCAAGGGGGCGTGGGCGGGGTGACGGCGGGGCGGGACCTGGACGGGTCTGAAAAAACCGTGCGGTTCTCTTCCCCGGGTTGAGTCACCGGTGCCCGGGGAAGGCCTGTGGCGCGGCCCGCTGGGCTCCTAGTCTCTTAAATGAGATTTCGAGACCCCCTAGAAATGCCAGAAATACGGGTTGGGTCGTGAGGCCCCAGGAAGACAATGGGTAACCCCCCAGTTTAGCGCGCTGCGTCCTCATCCGAGATTCCCGCTGAAGTTAAAGGCTTTGATGCGAGGTGTAGACACTCACCTTGCCGAGTGAACCACACGTTAATTTAAGGTGCTCCGGGTTAAATTGCTTTTCATACTTTGAGCCACTGACACCAGAATTGGAGGAAGAGGCTACTTGGACGGGATTCAGATATTCTTTTTAGGAGAGACAGTGAGTGATAAAGAGCAAGAGACAGGACTGGGGGAAGAATGGTGCTTTCTGCTTACCATCTCTGTGACTCTGGATTTCTTTAATTTTCTGTGCCTCAATTTCCTCATCTGTAAAAGTGGAATGAAAAAAGTACCTATCTCATAGGTGGGATAGTGAGAATTAAGAGTTTGATATATGCCAATCATAAACATTGCTTAAATGTTAGTTATTTAAAAAATATTGTTAGTGTTTAATATTAATATTATCAGTGAATAAAATCAGTTTAAGAAATATGCTGTTAGATGTCCGGCCTGTGTGGCTCAGTGGTTGAGTGTCGACCCATGAACTAGGAGGTCTTGGTTCCATTCAAGGTCAGGGCTCCATCCCAGTGGGGGGCTTGCAAGAGGCAGCTGATCAATGATTCTCATCATTGATGTTTCTATCCCTCTCTCCCTCTCCCTTCCTCTCTGAAATCCCTAAAAACATTACATATATCTACACTAATAAAAGAGAAACATGGTAATTAGCGTACGACCGCTACCCTTTTCATTGGCTAATCAGTGAGTATATGCAAATTAACTGTCAGCCAAGATGGCGGCCGGCAGCCAGGCACTGAAGCGAGCACGAGGCTTGCTTGCTGCAGACTCCAACATTC